ATGATTTTGTTTCTAAGCAGAAAGTGCTGCTCAGATGTAAGACTTCAAATCTTGGTCTGCAATACTGTAGTGCCCACCTGCTGATAAGGGAGACAACCCACTATTGTTCAAAAATGGTGGCTAAATTTGTTTTCTCACTCTATCTAGAAGCCTTTGAGAGGGAACCGACACTGATTCTAACCACTCCAACAGCTATCAAAATACCTGAAAGCAAATCCTGAATCCATCACTCTAGAGTCCAGTCTTGGAAGACAAAAGAAAAATGAGGAGGAACTCAATAGAGGGATGCTTTTGGAAACTCGTCAAGAAACTCCAGTGGACTCTCATGTGAACATTTGAAAATTGCCCTGTTCTGACTTTCTTCTTGTTCTCTGGCTGAAACTTGTAAGGCTAATTACTCTTGCCTTTACTTCCCCTTCACATCTCCTAGTCACGATTCAAGGACTTTCTTTTCCCCCTAGAGATAAGAGTTATGCAATTTAGGAGTCTTTTAGATAGACCCACTGAAGGGGTACTCCAATTGCCTCACCCTGTGTCCCTGTTCAGCATGGAAGAAGCCAGAGCGGTCTGCATCCCGATTCCCTAATGGCAATTGAGTAACCTCTTCAGAGGATGGTATGATAAGAATAGAAGATAGGCATTGTCTAGGCAGTTAGGGTAAAAAGACCTCAAAGAAAAGTAGCCAGTTTCTTGGCTAAAACTCACAATGTCCTTGGGCCTGTTAGCAACATACTCCGTTCCAAAGGCCAAAAATGTCTAAAATATTTGGGAGCTTTTATCTAATCCTTAAAAGATTTTAGGGTGCCCTCTTCAGAGGGGGGAATGTTAGAGTAGCCAAAAGCCCCATTAAAAAAGTTAAGAGGAAAGAGTACATGAAATTATCAGAAAAAAAGTGATGGGGAGATATGGAAGGAGCTGGAGGGGAGGGAGTGGGCATGGATTTGATCAAAACACCTTATATGCATGTATGAAATTCTCAATAAATTATTTATTTAAAAACAAAACCAAACAACAACCAATAAAAACAAAAAAAAGTGGCTTTAAAATTTTAGGTACACAGTTGCATTAATAGAGTTACCGTTATACAATATTGAACTCAGTATAAGCCCTATAAGACATAAAATTGAATGAGTTTTTAATCTTTAAAAAAGATCTCCATTTCATTTTAAAATATACTGTTTCCTACAGATAGACTGTTACTAACAGTTTTAATGTACTAACACTTAGATGTTTGCACATGCGTTTGTAATCTCTATATATCTGATTATTACTAGTCACAGTCAGTTACACTTGGATCCTTGGCACCTGTGTATGGATATAAAGTCATCAGGTAGATTTCACTGGTAATGTTTATCGCCTCTACTAATCAACATGAAGTAAATTTTTATGCTTCCTCCTCAAATATAAATCATTTAAAAAATTTGTTTATTTTTTCTTGTGCATATCATACAGAACATCCCAAACCATCTTATTCATCTATATACCCACTTCTCAAATGGCACCCTCCCATAGCCTCCCACCTCTACCCACTGGAGCCCATATACTCTGTCATCCCTGTTACTGTCCACTGTGTTGTCAGTGCCCCCAGCCATTCCCCAGTGCTTGTCTATCCGCTGAATCTAATCAGCCTATCTAGAGATCCTTGTTTTAGGAGGATCAGCTGTTCCTCATCTAGCAGCAATCAGTTGTCAATATTCCTTTAGATAAGATTGGGGTCTGCTGTTCATTTTCCCGGGTCTATGCTGGGTTACTGTCTGGGAGTCTCTTGGGCCACCCTGGCCAATAACTCAAAGGAAGGTATCTTGGAGGACATTTATGTAGACACATTACCTGTCTTTTGCAGTACCCAACACCTACACCATATCCTTCCAGTTTCAATGACTGTATGTTCAGTGAATGTAGCCAAGCCAAGGTTTCTATGGTGGCCACATAGATGGCTGCACGTTCTGCTGGGCTAACTCCAGGAATTGAAAAATCACGAAAGATTCGACCCTATTGAGTAAGCACAGAGGTTCATTTAAATGTTTGACAAACAAAACCAACACTTTACAGAATATGTTACATAGCTTTACTTGTGTAATATATGAGTATACATGCCGAAGGCACAATACACCAGGATGAACCTACAGACCCCAACTGCTCCTAACTCATAGACACAATCCCAAAGAAAATGTTTGATCTTTCTATATGGAGTAACCCCCTACACACACACACACACACACACACACACACACACACACACACACCACCTTCCTGACAGGCCATTGCCATTATAAATAGCTTTTTACTGACACCTAGAGGAATATGTAAGAATAAGTCAATATAACCTAATGACTAAATTTGTTCCTAATGCATTTCAGTCCTTCCTCGCTGTGTGTGCTCAAAGGAAAACAAAATTTTAAGCAGTTGCAAAGGAAACTGATTAAAATGTTGACTAAACAGCCTAGTGTGGTGGCAAATATCTTTAATCCTAGCATTTGGGAGGCATAGGCAGGTGAATCTCTGAGTACAAGGCCTATATATTGAGTTCCAGGCCAGCTGGGCTACAGAAGTCCCTGTCTCAAATATATTAAAAAAAATGTTGAATAAACAATATCGTTAATGAGCACAACAGCATTTCACCTAAAGTAATGTCATAACTAACTTCGTAATTAAAATAAGAGCAACAACCGAATAAGATTGCTAGCTTACCTGCACATGTTCCATCACATAGAACTCCGTTCCAATGATGGCAGAATCACTGCAGTACAGTAAAGGCCTAGGAACAGGGAATCCAACAGAAAGCAAGGCGTTCTGGACTTTAAATTCTCTATCAATCTAAACAGGATGATTAAAGGCAGAAACAGAAATTTAATAATCACTTATGAGCTAACTTTAACTAAGACTAGATATTAGTTGTAAAATAGTGTCAATAAATAACTCAGAGGGGGATAGCAACAATTCCCTCAAGAGGTGTGTTAGTTCAATCATTACAATTACAAAGTAGACCAACTCTTTAAAAGAAGATAATTAGGATAAAAGGATGGGCACTTACATGGAGCTTAATATTGGCTCTTATAGTATGAAGGCAGTAGTCTCTGGCCGTAATAGTCACAGGGTTTATTACAGAGCATTCCTTTGTTCTCAGCAGTTCCCTACTCACTGGCTCACTCTCTCCTTTCATATTTCACAAGAGGCTCAGGAAGATTTCATCTAGCATTCTACCATGGTCAACTGCAGAAGCTGGGGTGATGTGGTAGTGGGAAGGGAAAAGTACTCATCCCTTCTGGACATCAAAGGAGACACTGCTTCCAAGGAAGGAATGTAAAGACTCCCTCCAGGTACCTGGGCTGCTGTGAGGCTCCAGATAACTATGGGGAAAGCAGGCAGCCAGAAGCAAATTGATACTAAAGCTGGAACTCAAATAAGACAAGAAGAAAAATGGCCTCCTTGACAAGGACATATGTGCAGACCCACTAAGGACCTAAGGGTACAGTTATAGCAAAGCTGTGATACAGATAAGCAGGGATGATGTGCATCTGCAAAGTGACTGGGGTGACTGACCAGGTCTAAGGAGAGGAGGCCACGCAGCTCACCCTGACATCAGGGAGTAAAGCAGGATCTGCTGCAGTCACTGAGCTGCTGAGCCGGGAAGTAACTAAACCCAAGTCCAGATGAGAGCAGCCAATGGTGACAAAGGCTGTCAATAGAAATTCAGCCATCCTGATGCCAGGAAATGAGAGGGGGAGTGGCAAGAGGGAGAGGGTAAATGTTGAGGGAGGCATAATATGGATTGCAAAGCAGAGCACTGCTTTTTTCAATACAGATGTGGGCAAAATTAAGGACGTTAACACAGATACTGCAGATCCTTGCAACTGTACTGGGCTGAAGTAGGTATTCTGGTAGGATACAAAGAGAAGAGAATCAGACAGAGCTGCTTATTGCAGCACGAATTTCTGGGCATGGGTGGGGATTTTCCTTCAGTCATGCTGTTGAGATCTTTTATTTTTAAGTGACTTAACTTTTTAAAAAATTTTTACAATAACTTTATTGAGAATTCCACACATGCATATAAGGTGTTTTGATCAAATCCATGCCCACTCCGTCCCTCCAACATTCCCCCCTCTGAAGAGGTAACCCTAAAATCTTTTAAGGATTAGATTCAAGCTCCCAAATACTTTTGACATTTTTGGCCTTTGGAACAGAGTATGTTACTAAAAGGCCCAAGAACATTTTGACTTTTAGCCAAGAGACTGGCTACTTTTCTTTGGGGTCTTTTTACCCTAACGGCCTAGCCAATTCTTACCTCCTATTCTTATCACACCATCCTCTGAAGAGATTACCTAAATTGCCAATAGGGAATCAGGACACAGACTATTCTGGCTTCTTCCATGCTGAACAGGGACGCTTGTCTCTAAAGGGAGAAGAAAGTCCTTGAATCATGAATGGGAGATGTGAAGGAGAAGTAAAGGCAAGAATAATTACCATTACAAGTTCTAGACAGGGAACTAGAAAAAAGCAGAACAAGGCAATTTTCCAAATGTTCATATGAGAGTTCATTGGAATTTCTTGACAAGGACTTCCAAAAGCATCCCTCTATTGGATTCTTCCTCATTTTTCTTTTTTCTTCCAAGGCTGGACTAGTTGGCTGGGAAGAATGGCTGGATACTCAGGTGAAGGTTCAGTGACCCTGCTTGGCACTCCTTTAATGAACGAACACAACCATGAACAAGCCCAATTGTGGCTATGTTTAGCGATCAGGCTCAGCAGAAGTTGTGATGATGGTAGTTATTTCATGCAGAAAGGACTGCTGTATAGCATCATGTTATGAAAAGGACCTGGAATTTAAAAGAATTTGGTACTAGGAGCCACATATGAGGGAGAACATATGTCACTTGTTTTTCTGAATCTGTTACTTCACTTAGTATAACAGTTTCTAGATCCATCCATTTACCTTCAAATTTCATTATTTCATCTTTCTTTACTGCTGAATAGAACTCCATTGTGTAAATATACCACATTTTTGTTAACCACTTGTCAGTTGAGGGACACTTAGGTTGCTTCCATCTCTTAGCTATTGTGAAAAGAGCAGCAACAAACATGGATGTACAAGTGTCTCTACAATAGGATGAGTCCTTTGGGTATATGCCAAGGAGTGGTATAACTGGGTCAATATAGTAGGTTCATTTTTAGGTTTTTAAGAGTTCTCCACACTGTTATCCATAGGGGTTGCATGAGTTTGCAATTCCACCAGCAGTGAATGAGCGTTCCCCTTTTCTCCACATCCTTGCCAGCATTTGGTATCATTGGTTCTCTTGATCCTAGGCAGTCTTATTGGGGTAAGGTGATACCTTAAGGTGGTTTTAATTTGCATTTCCCTTATTACTAACGATGCTGAACACTTTTTGAGACGTTTCTTAGCCATCTTTGTTTCTTTCTCTGAGAACTGTTTAGATCTTTAGCCCATCTTTTAATTGGGTCATTTGGTTTCTCAATTCTTTGTTTTGTGAGTTCTTTATATATTCTGGATGTTAAACCTCTGTCAGATGTATCACTGATGAAGATTTTTTTCCCATTCTGTGGGTTTTCTCTTCACTTTTTTGATTGTTTCTTTTGCTGTACTGAAGCTTTTTAGTTTAATGAGGTCCCACTTGATTGCTTACCTTAATTCCTAAGCAACTTCTGTCTGATTTAGAAAATCCTTTCCTACACCTATATCCTGTAAGTTACTGCCAATATTTTCTTCTAATAGTTTCAGGGTTTCCAGTTTCAAAATTGAGGTCTTTTATCCATTTGGAATTGACTTTTGTGCAAGGTGAAAGATAAGGATCTAGTTTCATTTTTTCTACAGGTGAAGATCCAGTTTTGCCAGCACCATTTGCTGAACATGCTGTCTTTCCTCCATTGTGTGTTCTTTACACCTCTGTCAAATATCAGGTAGCTGAAACTGCATGTACTTGAGTTTTAGATCTTCAATGATGTTCCATTGAGCTATGCGTCTGTTTTTGCACCAATACCATGCTGTTTTTATGATTATGTCTCTGTAGTGTACTTTGAGATCTGGTATAGTAATCCCTGCTGCATTGCTCTTTGTGCTCAGGGTTGATTTGGCTATCCGGGGTATATTGTGCCTCCATATGAACTTAAGGATGGATTTTTTTAAATTCTGTGAAGTATGTCATGGGGATTTTGATTGGGATTGCCTTGAATCTATATATTGCTTTTGGTAGGATGGTCATTATCCCAATATTAATTGTTTCGGTACTTGATCATGGAAAGTCTTTTCATCTTCTGGTATCTTCCTCATTTTCATCAATGTCTGTAGATATTTATTTTATTTCATTGTATTTTATGTGCATATGTAAGTGAGTGTTTTGCCTGCATGTATGTAAGAGTATCTGCTCTGTGCAGTGCCAGTGGAGGCTAGAAGAAGACGTCAGTTTCCCTATAGAAAGGCTATTAATTTTTGTAGATTGACTTTATAATCTGCCACTATACTGAAAGTATTGATCAGTTCCAGGAGTTTTCTGGTGGAACTTTTGGGATCTCTTAGGTATAGTATCATCTGCAAAAAGTGATAGTTTGACCTCTTCTTTTCCAATTAGTGCTCCTTTAATTTCCTTCTCCTGTCTTATTGCTCTAGCAAGAGTTTCAAGCACTATGTTGAAAAGGAGTGGAGATAATGGCCATCCTTGTCTGGTTCCTGATTTTAATGGGCATGGTTCCAGTTTTTTTCCATTTAGAATGAATATTGGCTGTGGGTTTGTTATATATGGCTTTTTAATTATGTTGAGATATGTTCCCTCTAGTCCAATTCCCTCTAGGACTTTGAACATAAATGCATGATTTTGTCAAAAGGTTTTTCTGCATCTATTGAGATGACAATGCGGTTTTTGTCTTTGAGTCCATTTATATGATCATGATGTTTATTGACTTGCATATATTGAACCATCCCTGAATCGCTGGGATAAAGCCTACTTGGTCATGGTGAATGATCTTTTTGATATGTCGGTCTTATGCGGTTTTCAAGTATTTTGTTGAGAATTTTTGCATCTATGTTCATTAAGGATATGGGTCTAGTTTTCTTTTTTGGTTGTGTCTTTATTCAGTTTGGGTATTAGAGTGATGCTGGCTTCATAGGAGGAATTTGGGAGTTCTCCCTCTGTTTCTATTGTTTTGAATAATTTAAGTAGTATTTGTTGGAGGTCTCCTTTATATGTCTGGAGGAATTCTGCTGTAAATCCATCTCAGCCTGGGCTTTTTTTAGTTGGGAGTCTTTGTATTACTGTTTCAATTTCCTTATATGTTATGAGTCTGTTTAAACTGTTGATCTGTTCTTGGTTTAACTTTGGAGGTTCCCATGATTTCAGATATCCATTTTTTTTCAGATTTTCAAATTTAGTAGCATATAGGTTTTAAAAATATTTCCTTATAATGTTCTGGATCTCTTTGGTATCTGTTGTGATATTTCCCCTTTCATCTCTGATTTTGTTGATTTGGGGGTGCTCTTTCTTTTGGTTAACTGGGCTAGCGGCCTATC